TAGATAGATAGATAGATAGATAGATAGATAGATAGATAGATAGATAGATAGAGTGAATTCTAATTGGTTCTAATTCTTAAGCAGACTAAATGGTTCATTGATAGCAATGTCCATGCTGCTGGGGAGGGTGGGAACTGGGCCTCTGGAAGGGGGTGGGCTGAGTTTGAGAGCTGTATGTTGTAACTGTGTGGCTGTCCAAGTCATCTATTCATTGCAAATGTTTTCCTCTCACGCTCATTTTCAATATATTTGGGGATAATGGGAGTGAATTTCCAAAGACCATAGAAGACGGTGGTGGGTCTGAGTCAGCAGACCTCTTGGAAGGGCCGTTGCTGAAGTTCATAAAACAAAGAGAAAGTAAGGGTGGAGACACAGATGCTGGATTGAGAGCATGGGCTGATTTTTTCCTCTTGCCTGCCCTGCCATGTCCTGCACCCCCAATCTGGATCACCCATTCCCCATCTGCTCTGCAGCTGTTACTTTCATGAGAAAGGATGTTCCATTGGGGAATAGATGGCTCTTACATCTATGTGAGAAAAATCCTAAACTGGAGTACAGATGTTCAGGCAACGTCATTTTCACAGCGAATGTTTGAAACGATTCTTTGGAATCCTTGGGGCTCTCTGAGCTTGGTTGTTTTCTTGCAAACGTTTCATTACCCGGCTAGGTAACATCTTCAGTGCTGGAATGGAGTGGAGTTTGCTCTCTGTTTATATGCAGTGGCTTGCCCTGCCTGTATTGGTGGGTTTCTTTATAAACAGAGAGCAAACTCCACTCCATTCTAGCACTGAAGATATTACCTAGCTGGGTAACAAAACGTTTGCAAGAAAACAACCAAGCTCAGAGAACCCCAAGGACTCCACAGTTCAACCCTGAGCTACAGATAATCTCTTCTGTTGGTACAGTTCTTTGGGCAATGAGGTGGAGAAGACCACAGGAGTACTCATACTTCATTTTAGTCACACGCACCCATGTGCTCAGCCAACCCGTTCTTAAAGTGTATTTCTTTCTGTAACCAAACCTTACGCAAGGAAGCACTGTGGTTAAGTTGGGGGGAAACCCCAAATGTTTCAGATGAAGTTCGAGTTGTGTCATTTGATATCCCTTAATTGTTCAGGACATAAATCAATGAAATTGGAATGTACACCAATTGGATTATCAGTTGATTTACTCTCAGTGACCGTGCTCAACCTTTATCAAATAATTCTAGGGTAAAAGCTGTCTTAGCTCCTAAACTGGATTTTATCTGCCAGAGAGAGGACATAATGTTGCAGCTCCTTGCTTTGCAAAATGCTGATTTTGTAGATTTAAAAGGGAAAGCACGAACAGGGACAAGGGGAAATTTTAGCACAGAAATCTCAGAGGAGAGTATACTTAATCCTTCCTTTATGGATCTGTTTCTTGGTCCCTAGATGTATGGAATCTGCATGAAACTTCTGTACAGTCAGAAGGCACGTTTTCATTTTTTTTAAAAAACTATTTTATTGGCATTTGACTGGTTTTCCCACTAAAATCTGACAAGAAATTGCGGTACCATCATCCAGTCGTTGGCTACTGAACTTCAGTGATGTAATTTTGGGAGGGTCGAGGGGCCCCTTGGTGGCTGTGGGTGTTGCACCTGTGATCTAAAGTAATGTTCTGAAACTTAGTCCCCTGGTCCACGCTCCCAAGGAATGATGGGAATTGTAGTCCAATGCGTTTGGCAGATGTTAGCTTGAAAAAGACTGATCTAAAGATGCTTTTTCAGCAATATCGCCAAAGCTCAGCAGGACGGTGCTTAGACCAAGGACAGTGTAAACTTATCCACGCTCCTTGCGTTAAATGACAGGGGAAAAAAATAGGTGGGTCAGTATGATTAGCAAAGCAAAGAAAAAAATTGCAATAGTATTCAAAAATCATTTCCCCCTCTACCATATTCAGATATTTCTATCCATTCAAAATGCTTATCCTGGGTGGATGTGCTGCAGGAAAAACACTCATTTCTTGCTCTCCTCTGAGTGTTTTGTGTGACAACACCCACCTTTTGGCACAAATTGATGCTCTTCTCCTGAGGTTCAGAGGAAGGCTGTGAAAATGGAGCTATTCAGAAGGCCCTGTGGGGGTAACATCTGATCATTGGGCATCTGTTAATCTTACTGTTAATTCTATTGCTGATATACGGGTGAGGGGAGCGGCATCAAAAGCCAGTCCCCATAGACCAGTGTTGTCCAAACTTGGCCACTTTAAGATGTGTGGGCTTCAACTCCCAGAATTCCCCA